GTTTCGTTTCCATGGCTACGGTGGCCATATTGGATTTTATTGACATGTCTTATGTAATGAAAACCGCATTTATTTTTCCTGGAAAAAGAATATTTTTTTGCGTGTATGTTAACAAACATTACATCTACAAATTTGTTTATTGAATTTTTACCTAAACGAATTAGAACATTTTTAATGAATTTTTTCCTGAGGATGTGCTCAAGTTTGAAAAAACAAAACAAACAACCATGAAAATCCACACTCCAGACACCACCAACAAAAATCTATTCCATATATCAAAAGTTCATCTTGCAAAATTTTGTATTACATCTTCTCTTCGTTCTGTGAAAATTTCATGAAAATTGGATGAAAAATGGTGGAGTTATTCAAAAAAGTATATAGAAAAAACACGTTCTGAGAAATCGGGCGATAGGCCTACAGAAGAATAAAAGATTGACTTCATGAGGAAATGGTGGTAACAAACATTCCCGGTGTGGGAAGAAATAAGGCTTTATGGAGTTCTAAAGCAATGAAATAGTTGAATCTGAGGCTGGAGCAGCTAAAAATGCTAACAACTCAAAATTCGTATTTTTTTTATATAGCCGAAACGGGACTTTTGGGGTGTAGCCGCCTCCCCCCTTCCCCGGAAGTCAATGCAGGCCTACGACCATGTTATGCCTAGAGAAAAGCACTTTAAAAGAAGCGCAGGAGGGGAGCTGAGAGTCTACTGAATTAGCCCAGTTTCAATCCGTCTAAAAAAAATGTTTTTTAACTTAAGGGGATAATGTTGTAACTTTCGAATTTTGACTATCGCGATCGGAGACACTGTTCCGATGAGAATGTAAACAAAAAAATCCATTGCCGTGACTATGCTAGCCAGTAACCTGAACTATTTTTGCTTGTTAACACAGTACAAAGTTTAATTCAGTCTAGTTTTTGGAAGGCTTTACGGCGCTCGCAACTGTATAAGGGCATACGGGCACCCATAATTTCTCAGCTCATATCTCTAGCCTCAACAGCACAAAGTGTGCTTCGACTATCAAGGCACCCCAGAAATAGCAGTTCACAAGAGAGTGACAAACATAAAAAAGAAGTAGAGGAAAACCAACGATAGTAAGGATGAGGAAAGAGGAGTTCTCCGCATGTTGTTCTGGCACAGTTTGAGCATGACATTGATAAATCAATCAGCCCATTTACAATTCTACTGTGCTTAAGAACATGTTAGCCCTTCCCCCACCCCCTTTGGGAATGTCCTAAAGACATATCATTATCAGTCCGTAGCACTGGCCTGGGGGGGGGGGGGCATGGTTTACACGTGTAAATTATGTACAACGTCCACCTAGAGGCATGGGAGCTAAATTTTCTTTTTAACTCCTAAACTCTCCAAAAGTCTAACGAACGCAACCTCCAAGCTCCACGGTCACGGAAAGTTTCATTTTGCTTCAATTTATACTTATCGCAAGCTGCTAATCAAGAAACAATAATAATACATGTAATAATACATGTAATAATAATTTTAAAATAACAATCAGAAGGGAGGATAGCGAGCACTTCCTAACAAGAGAAACATTATTTTACTGGTGACCTCCCTTAGATCGATTTAGTTCTAAACTCCTTGGCTAAATCACAAACTGTGGCGTTTCTTTTTATAGAATCTTATCGGGCTGGGCCACGTTGTGGGGGTGGGCGGGGTGGGGGAATGCACGCAAGGAAGAGGGGATGGGGCTGGGATGAAAGAGGAGGGGCGGGCCTTGGGAAGGGACGAAGGAGAATGAGAAAAATTAAATAAAAGAGAGAGAGAGAGAGAGAGGGAGAGAGAGAGAGAGAGAGAGAGAGAGAGAGAGAGAGAGAGAGAGAGAGAGAAAGAGAGAGGGAGAGAGAGAGAGATACAGAGACAGAGAGATTGTGATCAACTGACGGGCTGACGGATAATGACAGGGAGAAAAAAAAAAAAAATTCTGTGTGTGATACGGACTGTTCAGTTCTTTAAGAGGTTTATGTTATAATCTAGTTTAAAAATCAAAAAGATGTGTAAAATAAGAAGAAAACTTGTCCGAGTAAAATAAAATTATCAAACATACCAAATTATAAAGATAATCTTTCAAGATGCTAAAATATTTAATTATAAGAAATGGATAAAAAAATATACTTTTAAACTGAATTTAAGATATGATTGCATGATTCTAGGCGTGTGCCATAACTAACTTTATGTGTAAGGAATAGCGAACACCAAAGAGGGTCGATGCCTGCTTTATCTGATTGCTAACAGTATGTCTTGGTCTATAAATAATAATATTATTGATTACAATAATTTTGTTTCCTGGTTTTCACAAAGTGGAGCGCACAATGATTTCAAATATTTTTTTTTTAAAAGAGATAACAGCACCTTTGGAGGTGTGATCGCATGCATGAGCGTGGATGACCTTTGAAGTGGGGTTTTTTTGTGTTCAGTAAAGTATGATATGGAGAGCAGCGTTTTTAGTTCCTTATTACACTCCAGAGGGGGATAATTTATCTTAGTGATGATTCTTGTGTAATAAAATTTGTTGTTGTTTTGTTTGGTTTATTTTTTAACAGCAGAATCTTAAGTGAACCGGAATTATTGATTGTGGGATCTTAGGTGAAGACTACAACAATAGAATTAAACCGAGTATAGTTCTATCTAACAAGACTCAAACTCTTATCCACCCCACCCTACCCTCTCCCCCATCTGATATGGTTTGGTGTTTCTTTAACATAGAAAATATTCATCATTATTGTTGTTGAGTATTGATTTCATATTCTAATGGAGCCTTTAGATATCTACATTTAGATAACAGTAGCATCTAATTTGCACACACAATGGAAAGCAATATCTTTAATTAAAATGTATAATATGTATATACATACTCACACATAATAATTATATATATACACATAATAATTATATATATTTATGATATAAGAATACTTTTTAAAAATTGAGTATCTCGGTCTTTCTGCTGGGGTGTTGTATCCCTTTCAGCCTGGGTTGGCCTTAGCAGGTAGCGCCGGAGCCAGCCTCTTATGAATATTAATGATCTAAAATTGTGTTGGCATAAAAACACTTTCATTCACATTTTTTAAAGGGAAAACAACTTCACTGTGAAAACTTCGGTCCACTGCAGCATCATATCGGTTCTTACACTTAAATACAACACAGGTGCAAGGCATTTTTACTAATTGACTTGCTTAATCTCACGGACCTTCTTATCTAGATTCCAGTGCGTGAGTCGGGCATTCGCGCAGCGCATTTAACCCACAGTTCCGCCGCGAGAGAGGGCTCCTTTCAGGCGTGCGGTGCCGCCCACAGAGCATCCTCCATTACTTTTAATCTCCTTGATCGGAACAAAGATAACCAAGATAACCAATCACAAATTAATTAACACACATTGGTATAGATAAAACTCAAGGTAAATGATCGCTATTGAAATCTCCAGGTGTATACCATTTCTTTCCATATATTTACAAGCTCATATACGCCACCTGAAATTTTGAATAACCTTGTGGCATGTTTCTGGGTCCATTCTTTGTACGTCCTGTTCAACATGGAGTTTCAACTGTTTGATTGTTTGTGGGTTGTTTACCTAGACTCGGTATGTCAACCCCCCCCCCCCCCAAAAAAAAGGGAAAAAAAGCAAAATACAAAAAAAACCCGAAACAACAACACCAAACCAACAAAAAGCAAAGGTAATCATTGAAGTGGCTCAATTTGAGGTGGGGGAGGGGGATATCAGTAGATTCATGTTCAGTACAAAGTTAGGTAAATGACTATGTATCCATTTAGGTATTTTGCGAATTGCTTTGTGTCTATGGGGATATCAGTAGATTCATGTTCAGTACAAAGTTAGGTAAATGACTATGTATCTATTTAGGTATTTTGCGAATTGCTTTGTGTCTATTATTTATTATGTATTTGTATGTGCTCATTTCGTAACCATGTGTAAGCATGCACGATGCGCGTGTGATAAGCAAGTAGATGTGTATGTGTGTGAGTGTGTGTGTGTATGTATGTGTGTGTGTGTGTGTGTGTGTGTGTGTGTGTGTGTGTGTGTGTGTGTGTGTGTGTGTGCTTGTGTGCGTGTGCTTGTGTGCGTATGTGGATATTGTTTGTACATGCATCATGTAAAGCGCCTAGAGCTGTGTTCACGGGAGTGGGCGCTAAAGAAATGATATACTTTATATTATTATTATTATTATTATTATTATTATTATTATTATAAATTTGGGCTTAAAAGGGCTCCAAACCTTTCTTGCAATCTGCAACCACATCAGTGCCAATCTTGATGGGTAGACTGTGAGCCACCCACTCGAATCAGGCCAGTATAACATAACTCATTCTCTCTAAACTTCTGCAAAACTTTCTCGGCACGTTTTGATATCTGAAGTGGCTTTTGTGGTTTTACCGTCTTTGTCCTGAAACCAGAAAAGGTCGATAGTAAAATTTTGCGTTTTACCCAATTTTGGTTGACATATATTTAAAAAACTTGATATTTCTCGAACACACCAATTGATTTTCTTCATATTCACAAAATTGACGTCCCAATGAATGTATTTCATTTTTTTTTTTTTATTTTTGTTGAAATTAGAGCAGATATGATCGAGTTATTTTACCCTTCAAAGCAGGAGGCCCTCTTTTTTAAACACCCTGTACATCAACAGAGAAGGCCTTCTTTCTCCGTAAGAAAGGGGAGAACAGTGTTGCCAAAAGGACTGGGTTTTTGGGGGGATAAATAATCTCCCTTGAAGGAGACAATAGGCCTAACCCACAGCACAGGTCTTCGCTTTCCGTTTTCCTGTGAATAGCAACAGGTGGTGATCCGGTGTTAGCAATAAAAAAACAACCCTTCTTTCTTTGCGTCAAAAGACAACTTTCATTACTATTTTTCATTTTTCATTTCTGAGAAGTGCTATTCTATCATCATTCGCATTTTTCCTTGGAACATCGATATAGATCTAGATCTAGATCTAGATTTCCAGACCTGTTATATGCAAGGCTATTTTGCAGTGCTGTTCGACCACTGAATTTTTTTTTATCGGGAGGGAGAATTTGTACCTGGTCACCGGCCGCCACACCTTTTACTTCACATCCCTGTTGCAGCTGAAGTGACTGACTGGCCTGGCCTACCTCGATGTCTGCTGTGTCCGATTCCTTAGTCACCGCGTACTCCAGTCCGGGTTCTCATTCTCAATGACGTTTCAACCCCGGATCGTGAGGGGTGGGGTCTATTTTCGTGTGTGGTGTAGGCCCAGTTAGCGCTTGGAAATTGTGGGTTTCTGTCGATTCGGTTTTAATAATAGGACAGGCAAACAGATCTTCAGTCGGAAATCGTATGTCGGTTCGAGTGGAAGTGGAACGCAACGTGAACTGAGTGGTTGGTGGACTAACATCTAGGACTCGTACACAGTTATTATATTGACAGTACTACGCCCTGCTGATGATCGGAATTTGAAGCCGAAGGGGAACTGGTCGCGTTCTTGGCTCTAGCTCTAGATTTCTAGACCTTCAGGTAAGTCATTTCATTAGAATCGCTAAACTGTCTCTAGATCTAGATTTAGATATCTAGATAGATTCTAGATATAGATCTAGATCTAGAAAATCTAGATATTTAGATATAGATCTTTATATAACTAGACTAGGCCTAGGCCTACCAATCTTTGCATTAATTTGCGTTGACTGACATTGTTGATTCTGTGTCAGATTTGAATATTATATTTATTTCTAGATCTAGATCTAGATTAGGCACCTCGGGACTCTAAGCAATATTTTGAAGTTGTTGGTTTAGACTTCGATTCTTTGGTAACTTTCCGTTGTGTTTATTGACATACCTGCTTATTTGAATAAACAATTTTAAATGCAACGGACTCTAAAAGATCGAGCAACCAAAACGCCCACACACCACACATCACTTTCAAACCACAAGTGATGATAGGCTAGATCTAGATCTAGATCTAGATTATAATATCAAATGAGAGAGTTGTGCAGTATTGGCAGTATTGCTGTTACAAACTCTCTGATCTAATCCTGTCATAAAAACATGTGTTGCATGATCTTGGAAATAAAGTACGCGATAAAATGAGTCCCAATGTTGTGTCAGCAGTAGTAGGCCTATATTCTAGTGGTCTTCGCTTCCGACTTTTCCTGTTTGTGTGTGGAAGGGCGTGTGAGATTGAGAAGCAAACTGGCCGCGTCCTTTGATAAACTTCGCTGTCAGGAGTCAGGGTCTCTGGAATCTAGATCTAGATCTAGAGGGTTTTTGAAAAGTAGGCTTTGTTGACAGTCAACAGGTTATATCTAATATAGATCTATATATATATGAATATTTATTTAAAATCTAGATCTAGATTTCTAGATCTAGACTAGTTCAGACTACAGGCAGGTCGGAAGTGAACTTTAAATGCCTAAATAGCAGGCCTATAAGTTTGTTACTTGCACCTTAATCAAGACCTGAGAGTTATAATTTTGGTGGGTTGTTTTTTTGTTTAATGTTGTATTACCTTTATAGGAGCAGAGAGTTTTTAGTAAAAATAAGAGTGGGTTGTTGTTTTGTAATAAATATAATGAGCATCATTTAGATTATAGACTTTGCCATCCATGTACATATATATAATGTAATATTTTATCAATGATGAATCTTTGTGAAGTTGCTGTAGCCATTTTCAGTTTCTTATTTTCTTAGACTAAGAGGCTATTCAGCCCAAAATGGGGCCACGTCCCTGTAGGCCCAAGGGAGGTGAGGTGCATGCCATAGGCATAATATAGGTGGTGGAGTGTTGTAGAACTGTAACGGTTCCGTGACCAGCATCAATTTATTAAGACAGAGGAGGAGTTTTGGGATGGATTCAGCCTGATTTAGGGCCTTCAATTAAAAAAGAAATAATTTAAGATCTGGTGGACCCATTTTGAAGGATAGTACAAAAATATACTTTTTCAGATGCCCTGTCTCCTTTTTCTGCTTTAGAGATTCAAACTTTCTGTTACTTTGTGCCACTGTGTAGAGTCTTTCTTTTAGCTGTATGACTACAACTGTACATTTTGAGAAAGCATGGCACAAGAAGGGAACACATTTTGAGAATTCTGTCTGAGTTATAATTATTTGAAAAATATTAATTTTTGACAATATGATGATAATTAATTACTAAATAATTGTTTGAGAACTATGTATCATTAGTAGGCTGATAGTTAAAGGCATATATAGCTCAAAATTAATGTCTTTCCTCTTTTTTAATTAATTTAAGGTTCTAAATTTAAAAAAATAAATTTCTCCAAAGGTAATTTATATCTAATCCCGCTTATAATTTTTATACTTAACCCTTTAGACGATACATATTTGAGCGCACTGTAAGCCTACCTTTACGCCCTGTGCCCTCCTCAGTGTGTAGTTGTGGCGGTTGTCCAAATCTATTATCAAACCAAGATGGCGTAGATGGCCTGGACTCAAAGGGTTAATGATTGTAAATAGTTTTTTTGTAAGTTCTGTAAATCCTATTCATTAATCTATATACGTAGTCAACACACATTCTCATTCTTCACCCGGAATTCTTTGCTTAGGATTTTTAAAGTTTATTTCATAGACTGACTCACATATTTTTATACTCGTAAAAAAATGTATTCAGTGTTTGGAGGTCTTTATGTACTTTTGACTAGCTCTACTCTTTTATTGCTCTTTCGCATTGCTATTGTTGTTCTTTTTGTAAGATATATATATAGGCCGATACTTTTTTTCTGTTTGTTGATGTTTTCGAAGATATTGAATTGATGTCATTTTTGTTGCTGATCAATGAGTACTTCTTGGTCTGTTTTCAATTATGTGAATTTTGTGAAAAGTTTTTCTGTTCCCACATTTTGATATGATACTCTCTAGTAACACCTCTAATTCAAATCGTTGTCACGTACATGACGTATTCAAAACTTGTTCTAAAGCTAGAATAAAACTACCTGCCTTTGTGTAGCCTACTGATGTACAATCGTTCCTGTTGTACTATCCATATCAGTTGCTTTGATATAATATTGCTTTTCCTTTTTTTTTGTTTTTTGGTAAGTGTTTAGTGTTTTATGGCGCTCGCAACTGCATATAAGGTCATATGAACGCACTATTGCTTCTCCATTTGTCTGACTGTCCTTTATAAAATATAATGTGTTTGTCTCGTTTGTTTGCCAGCCTGCTTCTCTTTTTTTTTATCCTGTTCCTTTTTCCTTTCTTGCTCATGGTTCGTCTTTCTGTTCCCTCTGGGTTTTTTTTTTTCCTGTCTATCTTGCTTTCTCATCAGCGCTTTACAGCCGTTTTTTGTCAGTATACTGTGTACTTTTCTTTTCTCAAACAAAGTACCTCCACCTAGACGCTCAGAGTAGTAAGAAGGTATAGCTCCCCTCCCATCCCCGCCACTCTCTCTCTTTCTCTCTCTCTCT